TTTTTTTCTTTCTTAGGTATTTTCAGGAATATCTAAGAGGACGGTGCTTCTGAAGGGAATAGAGAACATTCAGATGGAAGAAGAAATTGTGGAGGATTTAATTAACATTCACTTTCAGCGGGAGAAGAATGGAGGTGGAGAAGTAGATGTGGTCAAGTGTTCTCTAGATCAATCTTACGTCGCATATTTCGAAGAATAAACTGATGGAATCATATGAACATTATAGCTTTTAATACAAATCACTGTAAACATTTGGCAAAAATGAATATCCTTTCCTTTAAAAATCGAAAATTTTAATTCTTTAGTGTCCATTTCTTTTTAAATAAAAAAATATATTTCCAAGTTTTTGAATTCATCTTTGTTTTGAACTTGGCTGTATGTTTATAAATATGTAAGTACACTGTGTTAAAAACAGTTTTGTTCATAAGTTATGTGGATGAGTTCCATGTCTGTTGAAATCGACCTTCAGTGATCCAGATGTCCCCCTGCCCATGTTGGCTCATTCTGCCGCAGTCATGTTGGCCAATTCCATTTTGGCCCTGTGCCCACCAACATGTAGACTCGATACTTAGTATTATCCAGAGGAAATGCAGTAACATTGAGCAGTTTGGGATTTCTGTAGACTTTACCAAAAATTCAAGGAACTTCAAGAGTGAAGGAATAGGGGCTGGGGTTGTAGCTCAGTGGTAGAGTACTTGCCTTGTAGGCATGAGGCCCTCCCTGGGTTCGATCCTCAGCACCACATAAAAATAAATAAATAAAAATAAAGATATTGTGTCCATCTGCAACTAAAAACATATTTAAAAAAAAGTGAAGGAACGTAGTTACACTTGGTGGTTTGTGATTTCTATAGACTTTACTCAAGATTCAAAGGACTTCAGGAGTGATCATGCCCCACTTTGCATAGCAATTAACTCCACAGACCCAACGTTCTCAGAGCTAAGTGTGGTCTTTTTCTTGAACTTTCCTTCTCTGAGCATGCCAACTGTCCCCTGACTCCTTCCAATCCCTCTCCTCTCCAAAGAGAGCTTCTAAAGACTAGCATTTTCTTTCTTTAACAGTGACATTAAAAAGAATCCGTCTAAGAGATGGAAAACCTTGAAACACAGGGAGAAGTAAATGCAAAGCTAGGGGCTCATTACTTCTCCCTCTAGATACCAAGAATGGCTGAAGGTAGCACATGGTTCCTGCCCTCTCTGGGTTTAAGTGTAATTTGGAAAGAGACCCAGTTTATTAACATTTCATTGTTCTTAATTTGTGGAAACTTTAAGCATAAAATTTAAAATCCTATTCAGAGAAGTAAAGTTCTTTTTTTGGTGAAGGACATTTATTCTGACAATATATGTTTCATGAAGAGCTGGAAAGTCGAATTAAGTCATATTTAGACAAGAAATCTAGAAGTTTCTAAACCTTTTAAATGCTAGCTTCCACCTGAAATTAAAAGGGAAAAGTTTTTTTTCCCTGATATTTTTAGGTTTTAGTACCATCAGAAGTATTCATTATTTTTATATTTTTGTTAGAAATGAAAGCTGGTGTCTAAAAATGTTAAAATTCATAATAAATCTTTATATTTACCGTTTAAAAATCCTATGCCTATTTTTCTTTGGAAAGAGTCAGATTAAAGTTCTTGAAAATGTTGAGAGTGTCTTATTCTGTTATCTGTTGCTATTATAGATAATCTCAGACTTGATAATTTATAAAGAATAGAAGTTTAGCCAGGCATGGTGGTGCACAACTGTAATCCCAGCTACTCAGGAGGATGAGGCAGGAGGAATGGAAGTTTGAGGCTGGCGTCAGCAACTTAGTGAGACTCTGTCTCCAAAAGACAAAGGTGGGGCCTTTGGGGATGTTGCTCAGTGGTAGAGCATGCCTGGGTTCAATCCTTAGTTTGAGGATAAGGGGCAAGCCAGTTTTACCCATCATGCACAATGTCTAGCACAACTTGGCAGGGGAGTCTCTGTATCCTTATCGCTTGGAAGCCCCATCTTGAGATATACCTCCAGAATCACAGAGCTGGGTAAAAGCAGAGTCTGGAGAGACTTGGACTATTAATTAAATGCTGTGATCCAAAACTGACCCTTGCCATTTCTTCTCATATCTCAGTCAAGAAATAGTTACCTAGCCCCATTCAGATATAAGGAGACTAGAAAATCCTTGTAAAGTTAGGAGAACCAGGTTTGGCTGGGCCAGAATAATCACCAGCATAGTTTGCCTTGTCCTTTGAATCACTATCATTTGGTTCATTCTTCTTCATACACAAAATATATTTACCTCATCCCCAAAAGAATAGAACCAAAAATTCCATCCAATCAAGACATCAAACTCAGAAAGTGTGAGCGCTCAGTGACACGTGSCAGTTTCTCTATCAGGTCTGAACTGTATCTAGAGACTGCAACACACCCAATATTCAGTGATGGAACTGAGAATGGTAAGTGCAATAAACTCTCCCACGTGGAAAGGGAAAGAGTGAGAGACACTAAGCCAAAGCAATTCTGAAATCTCATTGAGTAGATGTGTGCACCATACCTGTAATGTGTTGAATTTTGATTTAGGCCCTGATTTCATTCCCTGGAAATTCTTTTCTTGCTGATTGTCTTAATATTTCCTGGACATTCTTCTTTTTTTTTTCCAAATATTCTTCTTGGCCAATTCTAGAAAGGGTGTTCGAAATGTATTCTTCTGGAGTCTGAAACCCTCAGTGCACTTCCTGAATCAATATTTGGAGCCAAAGTTTATATTTATCCCCTCTCCCCCTACCCACCTGGATTGAACTCAAGAGTGCTTTATTACTGAGCTATACACCCTGTCCTTTTAGTTATATATATATATATATATATATATTTTTTTTTTTTTTTTTTTGAGACAGGGTCTTGCTGGTTGCTGAGGCTGGCTTTGAACTTGTGATCTTCTTGCCTCAGTCTCCCGAATCTCTGGGATCACAAGTGTGTGCCATTATAGATTTTAAGATTTAAGTTCTGAATGTTTTGAACAAACAATAAAAAAAAGGAAAAAAAAAGATTTAAGTTCTGGCACCAAAGATTTTAAGATTTTCAATACTCCCAGTTTCTTCAGACCGTCTTTCACCCATTGAATGGTCTTGATACTCTTATTGAAAATTATTTGACCATATGTATTAGGGTTCTTCAGAGGAACAGAACCATTAGGAAATACATAGATATTTAGAAAGAGATTTCTTATGAGGGACTGGCTCATGAAGATAAGTTGCATGATCTACTTGCAAGCTGGAGTCCTGGAAAAGCTAGTCCTGTAATTCCAGTCTGAGTCTGAAGGCCCAAGAATCACAACTGCTAGTGTCTGAGAGCAGGGGAGGGATGTTCCTGCTCCAAAAGGAAGAATGTATTTACCCATCTTCTACCTTTATGTTCAACAGATTGGATGGTGCCTATCCATATTCGTGAGGGTGGATCCTTTTTACTTCAGTTTTCCAATTCAATTGCCATTCTCTCCTAGAAACATTCACAGATATATCTAGAAATAACATTTTACTGGGCATTCTCTAGCCCAGTCAAATTGACACATTAACTATTACATGTGTTGTCAGCTTTTCATTTTATATCATTAAAATTTTAGATTCTTATTAGGCATTCAAATGGGTACCTGAATATATGAATATGGAGATAAACTATAAATTTTGTGTAAATCTACCTCATTCTGTTTTAAAATCTTCATAGCCTCATGTCTTGTAGAGATACCATCATATGTACAATAGAGAGCTCCATTCACTGAGTGGATCCGTTTTTTAAAAGAAATTATTATTACCTGTGTAACAAGAGACATACAATTAAAAATTTTAAACAACATCTTAGTATCACTTGCTACTTTCACTTCAGGTTTACTACTAAAAATGAATCGCTAAGTCTAAGGATATGTGCATTTTATTTCTTGCATTTTACGTGTTCATAGTGTAGAATTGAGAAGGTGTTACATTTTCCTAAGCCATCATAAAGGTCACACTTCTACAACAACAACAACAACAACAAGGTTATCAAGAGAAAAAGCATAATCTATTTAATCAAAGTTTTATGTGACAGGAGCATTCGGAATTGAAGACCCAGAGAAAACTCTTTTTATGCTTATGTTGATGGACAGCTGTGCAGAAACGTGACTGCATCAAAGGTATTATCTAATGATAACAGACTGGCCCAATACCAGGGGCCCAGCAAGGCCGGTTCAGATTCTTCTTGGCTTCCCTGAGTAGCATTCCTTCGTCCTGTGTATAGGGGAGGACTTTTCTAGAACGAGGGTCTCAAAGGAACAGGGAGAAGGCGTAGAGTGACCTTTCTAGGTTCTATGGCTTGTTTATTGGAAGGGGGATTCTAGTTTCCTTCACCCACCTGGAAGAAGAGAAATTCCGGTTTCTTTGATTGGCTAAGGGCAGAAAAGGGGAGGGATACAGGAGGGCCCAGGAAGAGACTCTTTTGACCCAAGTCCTTCATTTAAAGTACTCAGCATACTGAGCCATGTTGGAGTGCTGTGTTCTGAGATCCCTCCATAGGGGTCAAAATCCTTCAAAATGTTCTCATGACTTGCAACAACATTGATGTTCTTTACAGACCGGCTATCGCTGGGAAAAATGGCATCGCGTTGTGATTTCAATGTGTATGTCTTTATTATGGATAAGACCAAGCATCTTCACATTGGCCATCCGTTTGCCTTTTTCGTGTTCTCTTTAATTTTACTTTGAACTTGTTACCTATGTGGATTCCCTTTGCCCCAAGAGCCAGACTCAGAAATCCAGCACTTCCTGAGTCCAATTCTACAGCAAAGTTTAAAACATAGACAGCATTTATGTTGGCTTTTTACATTTGCATATAGGTGGTCAGCTCCCTATTGGCAGGGACTATGCTTTTCATCCTGTGTCTTCGTCAGGGGCCCCAATCTGGGAGAAGAGACCACCCAGGAATACTATAGGGGGAATACTGAGGGTTCAGGAAGGAGCATCCAGAGTCCATTGAGCGCAGGACTGACGTATTACCGGGAGAATCCCTAAATTTCTGCCAGGGAATCTCCGGGCCTGTCTTTGAAAGCGTGCTTTCAAAAGTTGCAAAACTACGGAGGATGTCTGGTCTGGTGCCAGCGGCCCTTCCAAGTCCAGGCTCCCACCTAGAGGCCACCCGCTACAGAACAGCCATGTGGGATGGAAAGGCCGCCCTTTCCTTGTATTGTCTCCAAGTGAGCGGGAACAAAAAAACGAAACCAAAACCAGCTTGCCGGGCCCTCTGCACCGCCCGCGCTCCGCTGGGTTTGGGGCTTCCTCGCGGCCGCCAAGGGCGCGTCTCTCCTCCACCATGGCAAGTCATTTTTCTTTGGGTTTTGTGGTGCAGGGGAGTGCCCATGCCGTCGCCTAGGTCCCCCAAATGGGCGCAGAATCCCTTGGGCAGGTCCAGGGTGCGGGGCTGAGCGAGGCGACGGTCTGGAGGCCCTGGGGCTGCCAAGAGCCACCAATCCCCGCCGCCGGTCAACCCCAGGCGCGATCTCTGCACCTGCCCCTGCTGCGACGCTGCGCGTTACTGGAATTAACCTCGGGCTGCGAGAGGAAGGGCCCAGGCTCGGACTGCGACCTCCTGCGCCCACTGCCCCGCACCGCAGTTTCGTGGAGGAGTTGCTTTGCACGCTGTAGGGATCAAACTGTTGTCCTCCCACGATTCCGGGGTGGGGG